CACCTCGCGCCCCGCGCGGTGTCTGCGCACGCCACGCGCCATCGCGCCATCGCGCGCGCTCGTTCGCGCCCCCGAGCGCGCGGCGTCTTCGCGCGCGCGATCGATGAATGATGGATTTCGTCCCTCCCGCGCTCGCCCCTCCGCGTCCATCGCCCGTCGTCCGAGCGCTCGCCGCGGGGCGTCCATCGCGCGCGCCGTCGCGTCCGTCGGCCCCGTCACCGACGCGCGCGTCGACGCCCGTCGGGAAATGCGCCGAAAGATGCATGCAATGGTCGTCAGCCATCAATGGTCCACGAATGTTTTCAACCCACAATCGCACGCGCGCGCGCGCGATGTCCTCCCCCGAGCGCGCGTTCGAGCGCCTCCTCGACGGCCATCGCGCGTTCCGCAGAGCCCACTTCGCCGCGAGCGACGGCGCCGCCGACGTCCCGCGCGCGCTCCGAGCGCTGAGCGAGCGCGGCCAGCGCCCGCGGGCGTTGGTCGTCGCGTGCAGTGACTCTCGCGCCGATCCCGCGATCGTCTTCGACACCGCCCCCGGGGACGTGTTCACGATCCGAAACGTCGGGAGCTTGGTGCCGGCGTACGCGGGGTTGGACGGGGGGCATCACGGGACGTGCGCGGCGACGGAGTACGCGACGGTGCACCTGGAGGTGCCGGTGATCTTGGTCATGGGACACACCCAGTGCGGAGGGGCGGCGGCGGGATTGCGAAAGTATGGGAACGGCCCCGACGCGGACGCGAGCGTGTTCGGGGTGAACGAAGCGACGGGTGAGGGGTTCATCGGGGCGTGGGTCGCGCTCGCGGAGGACGCGGTGCGTCGCGTGTGCGAGCGCCACGACCCGGGCGTGCGAGCGAGAATGTTGGAGTACGAGTTGGTGCGACAGAGCGTGCAAAATCTGTTGACGTTTCCGTTCGTCAAGCGACGGGTCGATCGAGGGGAGTTGGTGGTCAAGGGGGCGGTGTTCAACGTGTGGGACGGCACGCTCGAGGTGCTCCGCGCGGACGGCTCGTTCGAACAGCTCGACGACGACGCCGAGGACGGGCGCGGGGAGGCGAAACGAGCGAAAAATTAAATTGTAATCATCGCGTCATTCGCGCGTCGCGTGCGCGTCGCGTCGTGTGCGCGTCTCGACGCCGCCGCCGCGCGCCGCCGCCCGCGGCGACGCGACGCCGCACTTCTCACCATGCGCGCCGTCGACGCGGTCGCGCGGCGCGGCGCGCCTGCGCGTCCGCGCGCGCGTTTGAATCCCTCGAGCGCTCGGAACGGCGCGGAATCGACGACGAGGCGGTCGTTGACATCGAACGACCCGCGTTGGGTGGAGGACGTGCGCGAACAACGACCAGAGCTGGAGAACGTGCGGTTCGTCCTGTGCGCCCCGCAGGGCGCGGCGAACGTCGGGGCGTGCGCGCGAGCGATGCAAAACTTTGGCGTGTACGAGCTCAAGCTGTGCGAGGTGGGACCGAACGTGTTGGAACGAGACGACGCGGGCGAGACGGCGGCGACGCGCGGGACGGAGAGCGACGCGGAGCGGATATTGGACGAGGCGAGCGAAGGTGAGGGGAAGACGCCGGAACGGGCGGCGAATCAGACGTTGCCGTTGAGTGCGGAGGCGTTGCGGTACGCGTGCGCGGCCGATTGGATGTTGGAAGACGCGGAGCGGTGCGCGGACGTGGAGGCGGCGCTCGCCGGATGCACCTTTGTCCTCGCGACTACGGCGAGGCCGAGGACCGGGACGCCGCTCATGACGGCGCGTGAGGCGGCGAAGAAGGTCGCGGAGGAGGCGAAGAGAGGTAAGGTGGCGGTGCTATTCGGGAACGAGCGCACGGGGTTGACGAACGAGGAGTTGGCGTGGGCCTCCGCGGCTGTCGTCGTTCCGACGGCTGGAGCGGGTAAGTTGTGTCGGAAAAGTTTGAAGTACACCGGAGCCACGGGACCGACGTCTCTGAACCTCAGTCACGCGGTTGGAATAATCGCGTACGAGATTTTCATGGCTTGCTCCGGCGACGACGCGTCGTCGAGTCCGGAGGCGAGCTCGACGTCATCTGAGCCACAAAAATTGCTCACCGCCGAGGAGAAGATTACGCTCCGAAACGAGCTCGTCGCCGCGCGTCGAGCTCTTGACGTCCTAGACGCCGATGTTGATCGCGCGTCGCCATCGAAGACATCGAATGAAGACGAGGACGAGGACGTTTTACGCAAGCGCGAGGCGAAGGCGTTTGAGCGCGTGCTCGCCGCCGCTCCCGTGCATCGAAGCGACGCCGCGGCGCTCTTCCAACTCTCCAGGCGCGTCTCAGCCATAAGACGCGGATCTGCGGTCGCTAATGGTGTGGGCGAAGGTATTCTCGACGCCACCATCGTCGAGAGCATCCGCGAGCTCGTCGTCGAGCGCGGCGCCGACGCCCCCGCGCCCACCGTGCGAAACTGCAGAAACCACATTCGGGAACGACTCGGCGTCTCCCTCACCAACCGAGAGATCGAGCGCGCGCGCGCGCGCGCCACCGCAACCTCGACCTCGACCGATATATAGCGTTTTCACGCCGCACCGCGTCCTCGATCTCCACCTCGCGCGCGCTCGACCTTCGCGTCTGACTCGTCCGCGCGCCGCACTCGCCGACTCGCGTCCGTCGTCATGCCCCCCGTGGTCATCCTCGACCTCGATGGCACCGTGATCAACACCGAACAGCTCATCGACGAGGTCGTCTCCGCCGTCGTTCTCGAGCGGTGCGACGCGTCGGTGACCGCGTTGAGGGTGCACGACGCGCTGGAGCGCGCGCGCGGGAGGCGTCCGCTGGAGGCGTCGCGGCTCGTCGTGGAAGAACTGAACCTCGAGTGCACCCCGGAGGCGCTGTTAGCGACCACGGCGCCGCTATTAGACGCTCGATGGTCCGAGGTCAGGCTCATGCCCGGCGCTCGACGGTTGATGGAACACTTGGAGCGGCACGGGGTGACGTTCGGGCTCGCGACGTCTACGCCGGCGGATTTTCTGGCGGCGAAGATGGCGGCGCACGACGACGTGATGAAAAAGATGCGGTGCGTGATCACGGGATGCATGGTGACAAATGGCAAGCCATCACCGGAGATTTTCGAACGAGCGCGGGTGGGGCTGGGCGGGCCGGACGCGAGCGAGTGTATCTGCATCGAGGACACGCCGGTGGGCTGCGAGGCGGCGACGAACGCTGGGATGCGAACGATCGCGGTGCCGTCGATCAGGGATAGAACGTGCTTCGAGTCGTGCAGCGAGACGGTGTTACACTCGCTGTACGATTTAGAACTCTCGAGGTTTGGGTTGCCCGAGTTTGAAGATTGGTTGAGCGTCGCCGACGGATCGACAGATAAAGTCTTGCCCGTGGAGCCAGTGATCATGCGCGGACCCGTCGTCAAGGGATTCGGTCGAGGAAGCAAGATGCTCGGAATACCCACGGCGAATTTGGACGTGGTGCCGTTGAAATCGCAGGTAGACTCTCTCGCGCCAGGTATATATTTAGGCTTCGCCTCGATTCGAGGCGAGACGCACGAGATGGTGATGAGCATCGGATGGAATCCGTATTTCGACAACTCGAAGAAGACCATCGAGCCGTGGTTGCTCCATGAATTCCCCGACGACTTTTACGACGAAGAATTGGCAGTCGTTGTCTCCGGATACATTCGCCCGGAAGCCGATTTTACGACGCTCGAGGCCCTCGTTGAGCGCATCCATCGGGACGCGGAGGTGGCTCGCACCATGCTCAAGAATACCCCATTCAAGGAGACGCGCGAGCTCTTGGTCGCATGATAGAATTTTGTATTTGTTACTACCGGTACAACATTTTCTAGTTCTTGCTCGCTTTGGCGTATCGCGCTACGGATGTACGCAAGAAGTGCATCGTCTTGCCGAACGCGTCCATCACTCGTTCGTGCGCGTACATTCCGCCGCCCTCATCGAGAGGTTTCGGCGACGATGCCGCTCTCCGCTCGGCTACAAGTGCGGCGGCGGTTGCAGCGGCGCGCTCATCCGCGAGTGTTTTCGTGCGCTTGAATTCTTCATTGATCGTCGTCGCCTCGAGCGGCGCACGCAAGGATGGCAACACGCTCGCCTCGAATTCGCTGGATCCTCCCTCCAAGAATAAACGATATGTCTCACCGTTTCGACTGTCCAACTCGAGCGATAAGATTGGTAGCGCGTATTCACCGCCCCACTTTCGCGCGCCGAAGCTGACGACACCACGCTTTCGCGTCCCTCGCAGTTCGAAAACCACGTGCGCCCACTTTGAATCGACGCTCACCGGAAGCGTCACCGCGCCGAAGAATCTCGAGGTGGTGCGCTTGAACAACGCTAATCCCCCACCAGAGGTCACCACCACCCGCGCCGCGCTCGCGGTGACGGGTCCACCGAGAAGCTCTCGAACACCGCTGTGCCCATCGAGTCGCTTCATCGCCATTGTAACGCAGTGGTCGATGTCCAACTTCCACCGCTGCCGCAGCGCGTAAGCCCCCGCCCCCGCGAGCAGGAGCGATCCACCAAGCATGGATCCATCGCCGTACGCAACATCGAATAATACCGAATCACACGGCACGCCCATGACGTCCTTCTTAAACGCCCGCGCGCCTCGCCACATCGCCGTCCCGCACGCCACCGCACTGAACGCCTCCACCGCTCGCCAATGCGTCGCGACCGCGCTCACCGCGCGCTGTTCGATCGCTCTCTTCACCACTACGGGGTTCAACGTGCTCGCAGTCCACAAAAACTCCGTCGCTCGCTTCCCGATGACGCGTTCGCTTGACTCTCTCGCGCGCGCGCTCGCCTCGGCCCGCCACCTCGACACCGCCTCCCTGGCCTCTCGCGCCTTTCCACGCACCGTCGCCGTGGGTTTCGACGCAAATTCCATCATAGACGACATTCGCGCCCTCGAATCCGCCCCCGCGTCGCTGCTCGACGCGCTCGACGATGCGAAGGCTCTGTGAGCTGTTGAAGATTCAAAAAAATCCAATCGTCTCATCGGCTCCGCGTGACGCGCTCGAGACGCGGCCACGCTCACGAGTCGTCGACGTGCGTTCTCCATCATCGTTCGCACCGTCGCGATGCGTCAAGGCGTCGCTCGAACGCTCCGGGCGACGCGCGTCGACGAATGAAGTGACGAATCCGTCAATATATGTAATCTCCCGAAGTCATCCGACGCTCCACACGCGCGCGCGCGGTGATCTCGTGCGCCTCGACGATGTCGCGCGATCGACACGCGTTACCGAACAGAGAGCGCGCGCTGTTCACCAAGCTCGTCGACGCGTACGAGACGAAGAAGTACGAGAAAGGGATCGCCGCCGCCGATGATATTTTACGAAACTTTCCCGAGCACGGCGAGACGCTCGCGATGCGAGGGTTGATCGTTCGATCCATGGACGACGGGCACGAACACAACGAAGAGGCGCACGCGCTGGTGAAACGAGGGATCGAGTGTCACCCGGAGTCGCACGTGTGCTGGCACGTCATGGGTTTGGTTTGGCGCGCCGAGCGAAACCACGTCGAGAGCGCGAAGTGTTACGCGCAGGCATTGAGACTGGATCCCGATAACTCGTTGATTTTGAAAGATTTAAGTGTGGTACATTTGCAGACGCGTAACATGGAGGCTTTCGTGAAGTTGCGATGGAAACTGTTGTCGAGCAGACGCGATCAGCGAGCGTCGTACGTGAGCCTGGCGTGCGGGTTGCACTTGACGGGAGATCACGACAGCGCGTTCGAGGTTCTGGAGTCGTACGAGAAGATTCGGAATGCGAAGCAGTTTGATTCCAGAGGGGCGTGGAGGGACGAGGATCCGCTGATGAAGCGATTTGATGCGAGCGAGCTGACCTTGTTCAAGGCGACGCTCAGGCGGGCAAGCGGGAAGGAGAAGGAGGCGTTGGCGCTATTGGAGCGCGACGAGGCCAAGGTGGTGGATAGGGTGGCATATTTGACGCACGTCGGCGAGATTCAGGTCGCACTCGGGATGAAGGCGGAAGCGGAGAAGACTTATTGGAAGCTTTTGGATCGTCTGCCGGATAGCTACGATTATCATCGATCGCTTCGCGCGGTGAAAGGCCTTCCGAAGGACGTGCGCGACGGTGCGGGGGAAATTTCGGACGGCGATATTGTCGCATTGAAGGCGTTATATCGAGAGATCGAGGAGAAGATCACGTTCTGTGCCGCGGCGAAGCGCTTGCCACTGTCGTTCACCAAGCCTGGGGATGAGTTTGACGCTCTCGTCGTTGCGTACATTGAGAAGCCGCTTCGCAAGGGAGTTCCGAGCCTGTTCGAGGATTTAAAAAATCTGTACGAGAACCCCGCCAAAGCTCGAGCGATGGAGCGAATTTTCACCGAAACTGTCGCTTCGCTCAAGTCCAGCGGTAAGTTTTTGTCCGGCGGTGAGACCAAGTCAGAGGAGGGAAAGAAGGAGTGCACCATGTACGCTGTCAACCTCTTGGCGATGCATCACGGCGAGATGGGGCGACGGTCCAGCGATGGCGGCGCGAAGGATTTCGCTAAGGCGCTTGAGCTGATTGAAGAGGCGATCGCCATCGATGCCTCGTGCGTTGATCTGCACCTGAACAAGGCGAGCATCTTGGAACTCGCAGGCGATTTACACGGCGCCGCCGACGCGGCGGAGACGTCGCGAAAGCTCGATCTTGCCGACCGATTCTTGAACTCCAACTGCGTGCGACACATGATGCGCGCGGGCCGCTACGCTTACGCAGAGCAGCTCGCGGCCATTTTCGCGCGAGACGGTGACCAAGCGACTAATTTGTACGACATGGAGGCGACATGGTTTGAGCTCGAAGCCGCTCAATGCCACACGAGAGGCAAGAAGTACGGACGTGCGTTGAAGTATTATCACGCGGTGCTATCCCACTTCCAGCAGTTTGTCGAAGATCAATTCGACTTCCACAGCTACTGCCTGCGTCGAACCGCCATCAATTCTTACTTGGATTTGTTAAAGGTTGAGGACAAAATGTACGCTCGGCAAGAGTTCCGTGACGCCGCCAAGGGAGCGGTGATGCTTTACGTGGACCTCTTCGATGAGCCTCCGGAGAAGAAGGCAGCAGCTTTAGAAGCGAAGGTAGCGGCCATGTCGGCTGCGGATGCTGATAAATTCCGGGAAGAGCTTCGCGTCGCGAAGGAGCGCGAAGACAAGGCTGAGGAGGAGCGACTCGCTGCGCTGGAGGAGGCAAAGAAAGTCGCCGCAGCTCAGGAGAGCAAGAACAAGTCGCCAAAGGATGCAACGAAAAAGGTTGACCCGGATCCTCTCGGCAAAGCCCTTGAAAACACGAAGGAGCCGCTCGAGCAGGCGATGAAGTTCATCGAGCCGTTGCTCTTGCACGCGGCGGGATACGAAGAGACGCAACTTCTCGCGTTTGAAGTGTTCCTTCGTCAAGGCAAACCGATATTGGCGCTCAAGGCGGTGAACGAGGCGCTGAAGATCAAGCCCAATAGCTTCCAAGCGAAGAGTAATGCCGCTCGATTGACACGCCACGTGGAGATGATGGATGAGGCAAACCCAATGAAAAAAGTCTTGATGATGCAAGTCTCTAAGCTCACCGGAAACCAAACTGCTGCGGCGTACGCGAAGGCTCTCGCGGATGAGAGTCCTCTGAATCCGTTGGACGTAGCGGCTGTGTCATTCGCTCAACGCGAAACGGCTGATGATGACTCTGCGTTGATCAACGGCGCGAAGCGTACGAACGTGGATTGTTCGGCGTTCCCGTTTGGATCTTACGTCGCGGCATACGAGCGTTATGCCTCTGTCAGCGAGAGCGCGGCTGAAGCAATGAAGGCCGCGTGCGCGTCGGCGTTCCCGTACGCCACGGTCTTTGGAGGATCTAAGAGCACCAAGCGAGACGGTGAGTGAGTGGATTGAGTTTCGTCTTACACATTTTTAAGCGCCTCCCTTGAGTCCCTCGAGTCGCGCCGTGAGATCGTCCGCCTTTTCCCTTTGCTCCGCGACGCGCGTTGAACCCGCGGAAGGAAGATCGGTCGCGAATTCTAGTCCGTGCTCGTCGGCGATCTGCTGCATGAGCGTCGCCACCTCCTCGGGCGGTGTGGACAACGCCGACGTGTTCCCCATTGCCGACTCCACGAACTCTGTCTGCACGTCCAGATTCTCAAACTGCTTCTCGAACAAATCCATATTCTCCGCAACCTTCTCTAGGTTGTTCGTGTTCAAGCTCCTCTCAAGCGACTTGACGATGCCCGACATGTCCTTATTCACCGCGTTCATCTTCGCCTGCGTCTCCAGCCTCGCCACGACGCCGTCCAAACGACTCGCCAATCGCAGCATATTCAACCCCTCGTTCTTCTTCCGAATCGCATCCTGCGCGTGTATCTTCGCCCCATCGATGTTCCCCTTCTCAATCGCCCGCTTCACCTGCGTCGACGCGCGAACCGAATAGAACGCCCGTCAGTCGTCTCGTCACGCTTCGCGTCACCTGGTCGCTTTCCACGCGATCCACCGTTCGATCGTCTCCTTCGCCCCTTTCTGCCGTCGCGACGCGCGCGGGACGATCATCAACGTCCACGCACCTTTGTCTTATTCTCCCGCTCCTCCTTTTCGCACTTCTTCGCCGCGCGCGCTAAGGATTTCGCCGTAAACTTGAGATTGAAAATTTGATCCTGGAGCTTGGCGTCGCTCGAACCTCGGCCGAAGAGGTTCGACAGCCCATCCAGGAGACCCATGCGCGGACGCGCGAGCGTTCTCAAGCGACGGGTGTTCGCGACGCACGGAGTTTTGAGCGCGTACGCTGAGGACTGACGCGCGCGCGGACAGTTGCTATTTCTTACACGTCGTTCAGATGGTCCACTCCGCGTCGGTCAATCGAACGCTATCCTTCCACAGCCTGGCCCACGCCTCGGTGTCGTAACTGAAACCATTCGATCGCATCACCTCGTGCACGCCCGGACGGCCGTCGTTGGACATCTCAGAGACGTATTTGCCGCTCACGCCGAGGTACTTTTCGTCCAACGCGAGAGCGATTTGGCCCCGAGCGCCTTGCTCGGGGGTGATGAGCTGACCCATGCGTTTGAGTTGCGGGTAGAAATCGAGGGAGAGATTTCGATTGAGCTCGGTGTCGACCACGCCCGGATGCACGGCGTTCACGCACACGTCGTCGATTCCGCTCGCTCGTAGTCTTCGATGGAGCTCGAACGTGAACAACACATTCGCCATCTTCGTCCTCCCGTACGTCGCCCAACCGAGGAACGGATAGCCAAAGAAACCCTCCGAATTGATGTTATGGAAATCAAGCGTCCCAAAGTTATGCGCCACCGAGCTCACGTTGACGATTCGCTTATCGTTCGACGGCGTCTTCAGCATCGTCGGCAGCAGAAGACTCGTCAGTAAAAAGTGTCCGAGATGGTTCACCTGCATCTGCGTCTCGTTCCCGTCCACCGTCGTCTCACGATTCGGCAGCGCCATCACCCCAGCGTTACACACCAACGCGTCCAATCGTTCGTACTTCGCCTCGAACGCGCGCGCGAACCGTCGTATCGATTCAAAATCCGCCAGGTCCGCCCGCATCGCCTCCGCCGTCCCGCCCGCGCCCGCGCCCGCCGCCGCCGCCCGCACCTCCGCCGCCGCCCGTTCGCCCCGTTCGACGTCCCGCGTCGCCAGCACCACCGCGTATCCCTTCTTCACCAGCGCGCGCGCGGTTTCCCGCCCCAGGCCCGCGTTCGCGCCCGTGACGATCGCCACCGCGCGCGCAGCCGTGACGTCGCATCGCGTCATCCGCGCGCGCGATCGCCCACGCGTCGCCCCACGCGCCCGTTCGACGCCCGCGATCGCCCCACCGACGCGCGCCCGCATCTCCGCCCGAGTCGACGTCGATCACGCGCGCGTTCTCCCGCGCGCGCGCGTGTGCCGGGGGAATGATTCCCCGAATGCGTCGCCCGCGCCACCCATCCAGTGGTCGACGCGCGTGGAATGCCGCTCACGCTCGCCCTCGCGCGCGAGCTCACGGGCGCCCACGCCCGGGACGCGGTGCTCGCGATCACGTTCTCCCGCGACGGCGCGCACTGCGTGACGTGCGGCCGCGATCGCGCGTTCGCGCTCTGGAGCGCGCGCACCGGGACGCTCCTGCGCGCCTACCGCGGCGGCCACGGACGAGAGGTGCGCGACGCGTCGTGCGCGCGCGACGGTGGGACGATCGCGACGTGCGGTGGTGACCGAGGGGTGTACGTCTGGGACGTCGCGACGGGGGCGGCGAGACGGCGATTTGAGGGACACGACGGCGACGGAGGAACGAATGCGGTGACGTTTTGCGCGAACGATTGCGTGGTGGTGAGCGCGGGGTACGACGCGAGCGTGCGCGTGTGGGACGTGCGGGCGAACGGTGGACGCGCGATGCAGATTTTGAACGCGCGCACGGGGGTGGGGTTCGAGGATAGCGTGACGAGTCTGACGCGGGACGAGGCGTGGCCGAGAATCGCGTGCGGGTGCGTGGACGGCGCGACGCGCGTCGTGGATATTCGTCGAGGCGAGCTGCACGTCGACGCGTACGGCGTCCCGGTGACGAGCGTGAGCTTTAGTCGAGATAATAAGTGCTTGGCGGTGGGGTGTTTGACCTCGCGCGTGTGTCTCGCGGAGTGCGCGACGGGCGACGGCTTGAACACGTACAGAGGTCACGTCGCCGAGCGCGCGAAGACGCAATGCGCGCTCACGTCGGACGACGCCCACGTCGTATCGGGTTCCGAGGACGGTCGCGTCGTATTTTGGGACGTCGTCACCGCCGAGATCGTCGCCGAGATCGACGCGCACGACCCCTCCTCCGTCGTCTGCGGCGTCGACGTCTCGCCTCCGGGCGTCCCGCCCGCGCTCGCGACGTGCGCCACCGACGGTCGCGCCCGGCTTTGGACCATCACCTCCGATCGATGACCCCGTCACGTCACCACTTTTGACTTTGTATCGCTTCCGAACGCCCTTGAATCCCCCGCACGGCCTCGCGCGCGTTCGCGCGTCTCGTCCGCGACGTCCGCGCGCTGACTCATCATTCCTCGCCTCCCCACCCATGGCGTCGTACTACCGCGCCCTCGCCTTTGCCCTCGCCGGCGCTCGGCGGTACGGTCGCGACGGGTACGAAGCCGCGGACCTCGAGCCCCTTCGCGAGGTCCAAAACCTCGTCGGCACCGCGTTCGTCGTCACCGGGGGCTCTCGAGGGATCGGGTTCGCGGTGAGCGAAGGATTGATTCGTCGCGGTGCCCGCGTGCACGTCGTCTGTCGAGACGAAGCGACCGGGGCGTCCGCGCGAGAACGGCTCAACGCGCTCGGGACGCGCACGGGGGGGTCGTGCGAGGTGCACGTGAGCGATCTGAGCTCGCTCGCGCAGACGCGAGGGTTGGTTGAAAAGTTGGCGTCGCGAGGGGAGGCGCTGCACGGATTGGTGTGTAACGCGGGGGTGATGCGACGAGAGCGAACGACGTCGAGCGAGGGGTACGAGTATAATTTTGCGGTGAACACGCTCGGGACGCACGTGTTGATCGCGGGGTTGAGACCGGTGTTGGGACGGACGGCGGCGGAGGCGACGACGAAGGGCGGGTACGCGCCGAGGGTGGTCGTGGTGTCGTCGGGGGGGATGTTGACGGAACCGTTGGACATATCGGATTTAGAGTATCGGAAACATAAAACCTTTGACGCAGTGCGGCAGTACGCGAGAGGGAAGAGGCATCAGGTGGCGATGACAGAGCGATGGGCGCGCGTGGAGGGTGAAAAGTCGGGACGCGGGTACGTCGGCTTTTACTCCATGCATCCGGGATGGTGCGAGACAGACGGCGTCGCGACGTCTCTGC